AATACAGCAACTGAGGATTCTAGACTCATGGAAAGAGAAAGGCTGTGTGCTGGCCAGGTGCTGGTGACCAGGAAGCTGTCTTGCAGAATGTGCCCTTTGTTTTTCTTTGTGTGTGTTTTTGTGTACATCCCAAACAAACAAACGGAGGGAATAGAAGCAAATACTGTTGAATGATGATGCACAGAGGATACTGCAGTCATTGAAATGAAACGATGAGTGTAAAACCAATGTTCTCCCATGTAAACTATCACTCAATTCACAATAAAAACTTTAAAAAGAAAGTGAATATTTATTTAACCCTACAAATGTGTAATATATAATCAACAGATAAAAAATCTAGCAGGTGAGAGTGCTGAGAAATTATTGCCCTTGCTCTTAATGTAAAATTTAAGACATATCATTATTAAAGTTTTAATAATTTTAATTCTATCATCAAATAGAAACTGAATTTGACCAAATATTGATTTCAACATTCAACATTTAGTCATAATGTCTTTTTGATGTATCTTCGATGGATGGATGAACAGGTAAGTAGACAGGAATGTGTTTGTGAGAATAATGTAGGAATATGTGTGTGTATAAATACATCTGTGGTGGCTTCTTATAGTGAAACAATATGTGAGGAAAGAAATTTGTTAATACATCTCAAGAACACAGTTTTTGGCCCAGATATCCCAATCATGGAAATGCTTTCTATAGGAGAAAGGGATTCAAAACCATGAAAGATCACTATGCTGGAAAGTATTTACTTTTTCTTTCCTCAAGTATTGTTCCAATATAAGAAGCCACCACAATGTGAGTACCATTTTCAGCACTAGAATATGTATACATATGTACGTTTACAAACACACATACCTGAATTACACTTACAAACATTCCTATCTACTTACCTAGCTGTCTACTATGATTTTCAATATCACAAAACTGGATACAACCTAAATATCCAAAAGTTAGCATATGATAAAATTGCATCTTTTTCTACTCAGAGTATTCATCACTTCTGTTTTTGCTTTGTTCATTCGGATTGACCTTGAACTCCCAATTCCAATAACATTTCCTTAGAAAAGCCTTCTCTAACCATTCAATCAAAATAAAACCTTCTTATTAAACACCACCAGAAAGCATGTCGTTTATTGCAGCTCATATTCAATGTAATTTTTATATGGACTTTTTGGTAAACACTTACTTCATCCCCATCCCCAAAAAGCACAGTATATTTTATGAAAGTAGATACTATATTTTATTATCATTGTATCTTCAGGACATACAGTTTGCACATAATAAATATTTATTGACTGAATTAATTAAATATCATATAGAAAAGATCATATGACAAAATATTAGGGGGAGAAGTAAATAGGATTTCATAATTTTTTCATGGAAGAAAATAAAATAGGTAGGTTTATGTGTACATATAGGTATGTATGTATATATGTGATATGTATACAATAGATTAGAATAAATTAGAAATAGGAAAACTGATTAGGTATGTAAATGCCTTTTTCATAAAATTTGTTTGAATGTCATCACAATATTAATTTTTTTTTAATTTATATTTGAACCAAAAGTGCTATTCCCTAGTTTTTAAACAGTCTCCTTAGTTTGAGGAAATAGGAATTTGTATAACTCATAGATACAGGTAAATATACCCAGAATAAGGTAGCAAATGTGCTTTGGAATCATACCAATTTTCTTACAAGATTTTTTTTT